CATATCTGAATGCTCATAAACTCATTTCTTTATTAAACAATAAATTTCAAATGATCATCATCATTGTCATTTACTCTAAAAACATGTGGGCATACTCGATTTCAGAAAGGCACACCTAAAATATTTGTCTGGTGCCCGTATAGTAGGCACACTTAGAAAAAGAAGTATTTCTATCCCGGTGCTTGCTGTGACAGGTACAAGTGAAGATCCGGGCCAGAATTGATCTTCAGTAATGCATGGTTGTCGTGATAGGCGTCTAAGCGGATCAGGTGGGCAGGCTCGTTGATATTGTTTATACATGTCATCATATCCCAATTGCCTAGATTGATGCTCATGCTGCTGATCACTGGATTGTCTGGTCCAGACTCGATTATTTACAGACCGCCACCACATTGCTGGAATATTGCTGAGTGCAGCATTAAACAACAAACCAATTGTGATAGGGATTGGGTGGTCAGGCCAACTAAATTGATTGTTGCAAATATTATATGTTGATTGTGTGGACAGATGCCGATCATGTGAGTCACTGGATTGTCATGTCCGGGGTTGACTGTTTGCAGTTATATGGCTGGAATATAGCAAAATGATGCAACAAAAAAACAACAACTTCATGGTCAGTTTATTTTATCATGTTTGTAGGACATTGCACAGAGTTGCTTCCCATATCATAACCAGGATCCAGTGATTGAATGCCAGATTTGTCTTGATTTTTAACCTTGATTTTTTATTTCTATGCTAAACAGCTTGCAAATTTGTAAACATCAACAACTTGCATCCTGTTGGCCTTTTCTCACAAATATGGCTAGCTATTATTTAGTGATCAACAGCATGAGCATCAATCTACGTAACTGGGATTCGATGACGTGTCAACCAAGGCTCGCTGACTTGGTTGACATGACATCGTATCCCAGTTGCATAGATCGATGGTCATGCTGTTGATCACTGGATTGTCTGGTCCAGACTCGATATTTTACAGACATATAGCTGGAATATTGCCAAGTGTGGTATTTAGCAACAAACCAACCAACCGTTATCCCCTATTTAGGACATGAATTGTAATGGAACATCATCACTAAGTGACCAAAATAGGACATAATTTCTCAGATCTAATGGACAGAGCAGGACCCCTCCACCTACTGCTTGTGAACCCCTTCCAAACTGTTATAGTGGACTATAAACAGTTAACGATAAACGGTAGATGTAGTCACTACGGTACCTTCATACTGTCACTACTCTGTTTTAATACATGTTGTAGTGGACGATAAACAGTTAACGATAAACGGTAGATGTAGTCACTACGGTACCTTCATACTGTCACTACTCTGTTTTAATACATGTTGTAGTGGACGATAAACAGTTAACGATAAACGGTAGATGTAGTCACTACGGTATCTCCATACTGTCGCTACTCTGTTTTAATACATGTTGTAGTGGACGATAAACAGTTAACGATAAACGGTAGATGTAGTCACTACGGTATCTTCATACTGTCGCTACTCTGTTTTAATACATGTTGTAGTGGACGATAAACAGTTAACGATAAACGGTAGATGTAGTCACCACGGTATCTTCATACTGTCACTACTCTGTTTTAATACATGTTGTAGTGGACGATAAACAGTTAACGATAAACGGTAGATGTAGTCACCACGGTATCTCCATACTGTCACTACTCTGTTTTAAAACATGTTGTAGTGGACGATAAACAGTTAACGATAAACGGTAGATGTAGTCACTACGGTACCTTCATATCGTCGCTACTCTGTTTTAAAACATGTTGTAGTGGACGATAAACAGTTAACGATAAACGGTAGATGTAGTCACTACGGTACCTTCATACTGTCACTACTCTGTTTTAAAACATGTTGTAGTGGACTATAAACAGTTAACGATAAACGGTAGATGTAGTCACTACGGTACCTTCATACTGTCACTACTCTGTTTTAATACATGTTGTAGTGGACTATAAACAGTTAACGATAAACGGTAGATGTAGTCACTACGGTACCTTCATACTGTCACTACTCTGTTTTAAAACATGTTGTAGTGGACTATAAACAGTTAACGATAAACGGTAGATGTAGTCACTACGGTACCTTCATACTGTCACTACTCTGTTTTAAAACATGTTGTAGTGGACTATAAACAGTTAACGATAAACGGTAGATGTAGTCACCACGGTACCTTCATACTGTCACTACTCTGTTTTAATACATGTTGTAGTGGACGATAAACAGTTAACGATAAACGGTAGATGTAGTCACTACGGTATCTTCATACTGTCGCTACTCTGTTTTAATACATGTTGTAGTGGACGATAAACAGTTAACGATAAACGGTAGATGTAGTCACTACGGTATCTTCATACTGTCGCTACTCTGTTTTAATACATGTTGTAGTGGACGATAAACAGTTAACGATAAACGGTAGATGTAGTCACTGCGGTATCTTCATACTGTCGCTACTCTGTTTTAATACATGTTGTAGTGGACTATAAACAGTTAACGATAAACGGTAGATGTAGTCACTACGGTACCTTCATACTGTCACTACTCTGTTTTAATACATGTTGTAGTGGACTATAAACAGTTAACGATAAACGGTAGATGTAGTCACTAAGGTATCTTCATACTGTCTATACTCTGTTTTAATACATGTTGTAGTGGACTATAAACAGTTAACGATAAACGGTAGATGTAGTCACTACGGTACCTTCATACTGTCACTACTCTGTTTTAATACATGTTGTAGTGGACTATAAACAGTTAACGATATACGGTAGATGCAGTCACCACGGTACCTTCATACTGTCACTACTCTGTTTTAATACATGTTGTAGTGGACTATAAACAGTTAACGATAAACGGTTGATGTAGTCACTACGGTATCTTCATACTGTCGCTACTCTGTTTTAATACATGTTGTAGTGGACTATAAACAGTTAACGATAAACGGTTGATGTAGTCACTACGGTATCTTCATACTGTCGCTACTTTGTTTTAATACATGTTGTAGTGGACGATGAACAGTTAACGATAAACGGTAGATGTAGTCACTACGGTATCTTCATACTGTCGCTACTCTGTTTTAATACATGTTGTAGTGGACTATAAACAGTTAACGATAAACGGTAGATGTAGTCACTAAGGTACCTTCATACTGTCACTACTCTGTTTTAATACATGTTATAGTGGACACCCCTGGGTATTGGAGTAGCATATGAAGATTATGGATTTGGAAGTGAGTATTTCCCCATGTACAATACCTTACTGATTTTACGTAACGAATAATTTTATTCGGCGAATTGTTTCAAGAGGACAATAATTTGGTAGATGTTATACACCTCAGTCAGCATTCTCTAACGGTATGGCGAAGCATTATTCACTTCGGTGCATAGAAGCAGTGGGGTAGCCTAGTGGTTTAAGCGTTCGCTCGTCACGCTGAAGACTCGGGTTCGATTCCCTACATGGGCACATTGTGTGAAGCCCATTTCTGGTGTCCCCCGCCGTGATATTGCTAGAATATTGCTAAAAGCGGCGTAAAACCCAACTCACTCACTCGGGGCATAATTTATGTTATACCAAACGATCCTGACTTCCCAGTTACATTTCCTACAGCACACACAACAAAGGATTTTATCGTGGCTCCTTACTGGACTAGATGATATCCCATGTCATATGCAGCAATTGACTTCCAATGAATCCTCGACTCCTGAGTCTCTAGGACTTCAGTCCTGCCTCACAACGAAGCATATGTGATACATGTGGTCTCACTTTAGGCAAGCGAGTTTATTCACAATTGCCTCTGTTCACCCAGCAGAAAATGGGTACCCGGTGGGACTATTAACCTTCTAGCGCCTCACAGCTTCAGCTTGGGTTATCTGGGGAAATAATAATCAGATTGTGCGCTTTGAGCTGGATATGAGACCTGGAAAGGCGCACTATAGATATTCATATTTATTAATTACTATGTACAACTTGATTTTCTGGTCCATAAAACACTTGATTGTCTGGTTTGGTTACAGACCGCCGTGGCAGGGTACGGCGAACACTGGTGTTTCATGCATATCATTTTCACAGCTGTTTGGTCCATTACACAAGACGGAATGTGTTTTTGAGGATAGCCAAGACGAGGAATTCGTTTGGACTGACGTTATACCTTTATCATTAACAAGGTCCTATATCTATCTATCAGTGTCACAGAGCAGCTTCAATATCATAAATCGCAGGATATCATTAGAACATCGGTGTTTTGTACCAGTGAGTCAGTGCAGTTTCACGCCGCTTTTAGCAATATCCCAGAAATATCACGAAAAGAGACCAGAAATGGGTTTCACACATTGTACCCCACCCGGGTCTTTGGTGTGACTAGCGAACGCATTTATCCACTAGGCTAACCCCCCGCCGTCGAGCTTCGTCAATCGTATTAGTTTAATGTCGTAAATTTCAGTACTTTAGGCAATTTCTCAATGAATATTACCGTTGTTTGTTTACTGCAAAAAAAACCTTTACGACGGAAGCAAATGATGCAGTCTGGGGCATCAACGTAACATACCAACAAATACTATCACCTTATAAAACCTGTATTCATACCTTCCTTGAAATTTTAGAAAACGTCCTGCTGTGTTACGGGGGATACGGGGTAACGGATACGGTGGCCCGTGACTGGGCCGACCGGCTGGTGACTCACTCCGATCTCAAGGGTCTGGCAGTGGGGAAGGTCTATGCAGTGAAGGGACCTCAGGATTCCTTGCATAACGCCAAGGAGATTTCAAACTCCAAGCTGGTACAGTGAGTAGCAACACCAACGTCCTGTCCTAAACGTGTGAGTGAGTGAGTTTAGGTTTACGCCGCCGTCACCAATATTCCAGCAATATTCTGGCGGGGAACACCAGAAACGGGCTTCGACAATTTTTACCCTTATGGGGAATCGATCCCGAGTCTTTGGCGTGACGAACAAACGCTTTAACCACTCGCATTACGAAAGGTCATTGAGTTTGAATTTAGTTTCGAGTGTGTCTCGTCTTTTGCAGGCACCTGCTGACGCACCGGAGGCCAGGCTTTGTCGCTGTGGTGGCCCATTCCAGTGGAGCGTTTGTAGCCAATGAATTCTTCAGTCAGCTGGCTGCCAATGACATAAACAGACAGTTTGATCAGAAAATATTTTACTACAATTTGGATGGTGCTGGTAATATCGCAACAACGTTTTCATTTTTCGTGCTAATAAAAGAATTCATTCGTGAAAGCTGTGATTCTGGAAGTAGACGAGTCGCGAATCGTGCCCCGTTTACAGCGGACATTTTATCAAATATTCTTCTGTCTTTGCGCAAAGAAATTAGCAACATGTTTTACACACCACGATGTTTTGTAATTATACAAAGTGAAATCTTATAGATATAACAGGGGACTCTTTGACCAAAGTACTTTTCAGACACATGCATTCTCATTGCATATTTGTTTGTGTTGCTCCTGTGCTGCTCAGGTGACGGGTGAAATTATTGCATTATTTTATTATTTGTGTTCATGTAATTTTATACGACAGACATATCAGTATCGTTTTGTATCATAACCTTTCGAGAGACACGTATTGTGACACAGATTATTACGATGATGATTTGTTTGTTTATTGTTTAACGCCACACTCAGCAATATTCCAGCTATAAATAAACGAGTCCGGACCAGACAATCCAGTGATCAACAGCATGACAATATGCATCGATCTAGGTAATTGGGATGGTATGACATGTGTCAGCCAAGTCATCGAGCCTGACCACCCGATCCCGTCAGTCGCCTCTTACGACAGGTATGGGTTACTGAAGATCAATTCTAACCCGGATCTTCACTGGTTTAACATTTGGTGTTGAACCATTTGTGCTGTACACATCAAGAGAATAGCTGATGTGAAGACACGGATGACTTGTCTCCAGTTGTGATCACCTCCAATCTCTGTCCTCGTACACGAGGTCCAGGAGAATAATCAATTCAGCAACTTATACAATGTTTTACATAAGCGTTAGAAACTGTTATTGCTGTGGATAAATACACAATGTTTCAATTTTGCAGGAGGACCTTATGGTAATGCCCTATCTATGTTGAGAAAGGAATATTTTGTGTATGCAAGGATGGGATCTGTGTTCTCCATGAATGCCAGTTAGTACCACGACTGACAAGATTGCCGTTAATTAAGATACTAGCTGATAAGTGGTGGTGGTGGTGGAATTGCGTTTAACGTCGTGCTTGAGAATATTTCGCTCATATGACGACGTGCATGCGTGTGTATGTGTATGTGCGGCTGATTGTACTAGCCCAGACTGAAGCTGTTTTATAGTGCTAGCCCACTGTGATACCATGCCTCAGTGAAGCATGAATACCCCACTCAGACACATTATACTGACTCCGAGCCGACCAGTCCTTGTTGTACCCATTAATGCCGAGCGCCAGGCAGGGACCAACAGGACCATATTTTAACGTCTTTTGGTATGACGCAGTCGGGGATCGAACCCGCGACCTTCCGCTCTCCGGGCGGACGCTCTAACCACTACACCACGGAGGCGGTCAGCTGATAAGTTAGGCTGATAATGTTTCTGTTGTTCGTGTGGTAATAACATTTTGTATTCAGTGATACTATTATTTCCTGTAGTGCAATGTACAAGTGGAGCACAGTGGTGTAGTGGTTAGCCTGCTGGCCTCTCACGCCAAAGGCCCGGGTTCGAATCCCGGTGGAGACACCAAAATTTGTGACCTGGGTCTCATACTGCGTTGTGTCCCTGGGCAAGGCACTTCGTCCACATTGCACTCAGTCCACCCAGCTGTTTAAAATGGGTACCTGAAAAGCGGATGTACGGACCTATACGGTCGCGCTTAGCGCTTAGTAGCAGCCTTGAAAGTAGAATTCCGTCAGGGTAATAATGTAATGCCAGAGAACAGCATCGCGTTGGATTCTAGGCGCAAAAATTAGCATTATTATTATTATTATTATATATTGGGTTCTCATGAAAGCAAATCGTGTTTGGTAAAAATTGATATTGTAACTGGAACTGGCTACATGTCATGTAACAAGATACACAATAAACTACGTTAACAGCGAACTATTAGATAAGGCGAACCTCCATGTATCTGTATCCTTTAGTCGAAATGCGTTAAGTTATGGTTCTCATTTATAGCAAAACTGTTTCGTTTTTAGTACGTTTTGATAATCAACTTTTCTTTGTAAATAAGTGAATAGATATTGTAATACTTGTTCTCTTTAAGTATTGGGATAGCATAGGGAAACTGGGTTTAAATTGGTTAAACCCAATCTTCAGATTCGATGAAGTCCCATGGCCGAGGCGATCAGCTTATAGAGCTGGACGGGAGTGAATCCCACTGTCAGAACAGCCGGTGCCTCCACGACGTGATGATCATCCACCACCCCTGGAGCCCCACCTACTTCGACGTGGGCCGCGACTACAGCCTGTTTGCTTTGGGAGACAGAGAAGTCCAGTCGCCATACATTTCCCATACAGTGTCCCTCCTGTCTGCGATGAGAGATTGAACTACTTAAGATGTAGCCAATAAACGATTGATTTCACACGAGTGGTTATTTATAATTCTAACATGCTTCGCTAAAAGATCAAAGGTGTCGACAGTACTTTATCAGGCGATAAAGTACACTTTTTGGATGACGTCACAATGTATTGACGTCACAAGGCCATTCTCGTCTGCCCCCTCGTAATCAAACGTACCCAGTTGTCATCGCCTCCGCAGCATACCATTTCTTGGTTTGCAGCTGCTTCACTCAGCTAACATCACTGGTGGAAAGATTACGTTTATGTTTTTCGACGGATAATATGTCTCAGATAGACTCGCAATTAAACAGCAACACGGCAACGTTCGCAATGTTTACATTCACACAATGCATCCGTGGGATGTCGCGCGTCTAGTCAGTTTCATCTGGATGTAGTATAATGTGTCTGAGTGGGGTATTCATGCTTCACTGCGGCATGGTATCTCAGTGGGCTAGCACTATAAAACCAGCTTAAGTCTGGGCTAGTACAAGCAGCCTCACATACACACGTCACGCATGCACGTCGTCATGTGAGCGAAATATTCTGAAGTGCGACGTTAAACCCCATTTCACCTCACCTCTTAAATAGTACGAACATTCCATCCCGACTTGATTCCAATATTTTATTGGAACTTTAATATTGTTTCTAACTTTGATTCAACGTGAACATTTCAAGGTTCAAATCCAACCAATATTCCACGTCTTTTATTAAAGCATTATCATCTTAAGATTAATTCAACACGGCAGTTCGTGTTGTGTTTACTTTACTCTATTTCGACTTCCCAAACACCGCACCTCCATCGGTTAAGATTGTTTACATAAACACGTGTCAGTCAGGACAAAAGCCTTGTATATTTCACGCAGGTGTTCGCCTGAATTGTTACGTGCTGTCATGGTTACGAGTTTAGCCAATCGGGACACACTTCCGTTGCACGAACTTTTCATGCGCGTTATTCAGAATCTTTGGTGGAAGCAGACGCGACATGTTTATAATGACGCGGTGTATGTCACATTTATGTGGTAAAGCCGTTTGTTAATTGACTTATATTGGGGATTCAATGTACTTAGACTCCGTTTTCTCATGTTTCAATTGCTTCCGCGCTACGCTGTAAGTAATGTTTTCAAGTTTGTTTTGATTTGAAGACAATTATTTTCAACGTGATTTCCAGCCCGGCAATATTGTTTTGATTGCAATAAACGTTGAAGAAACCTAGGTGAACAATTACGGTTTACTGCTGATAATAAATAATCTATATCATTTGGTCAAATAAAATATATTCTTTGTGTAATTAGTTAACCTCCAGCGACGACGTAAGGTATGAGTATTGTCAAAGGCCACAGTTAGGAATAATCTGTGTTTAACTTTAATTTACTTGTCAGAGTTTATTTCGTTGCTACGTAAAATACATTTCAAAAGATTTGAACATCGGAGTTCTTTTAAGTTAAAACAATGACCCTATTTGTTAATTGAAATGCCTCTTGCAACCATATATAATGTGTGATAGACAACTCATTTTTCAGTCCAAATCTTCTTCTTTTCTTTTCTTTTTTTGGGGGAGTGGGGGGTGGGGTGGGGTGTGTGTGGGCACAATGTATTATTCATGCACTTTCGGTCACAATTTCTTCGATAACATACTAGGATTTCTTCGGGCATTGAGTACGTTGTCACATGTTATCATTCACTTTGGCTAGCGATAGTTTTCAGTCAATTTTAGCATCCTTTTACCAGTCATCTTGGTCTATTTAAACGATGAAATCTTTTATAGAGGATGGAGTGGTCATCATTCCATGTACAATAACGTGTATATTTGAACGAATGAATAGACATGATTAGCAAAAACAATTTTGCTTGAGCTTGTGTTTCAAATAATGTCAACCTTTGATCAGTACATGTACCACCCATGTCACGTGAGCTTACAACAGTGAGACATTGTCTCCGTAAAACGACCATGTCAAGTGAGCTTACAACAGTGATACATTGTCCCCGTAAAACGCCCATGTGACATGAATTTACCACAGTGACACATTGTCTCCGTAAAACGCCCATGTCACGTGAGCTTACAACAGTGAGACATTGTCCCCGTAAACGCCCATGTGACATGAATTTACGACAGTGACACATTGTCTCCGTAAAACGCCCATGTCACGTGAGCTTACAGGTCTGTTTTGGACGTCCTCGTTTCCTCTTGCCTTGTAAGGTTCCAGTCAAGCGCTTGTCTGGTGATATTTGTTTTGTGCTTTCTAAGCGTATGTCCAATCTAACGCCACTTTTGTCACTTGATCTGTGGAGACTTTATCGAACCACTTGATACGGAGGATCTGTCGGAACACTAATGTTGAGGAAAGTCTGTATTTTGATGGAGCTCGTCATGGTTACTCTCCACGTTTCCGATCCCTAAAGCAGGACAGAACGAACATTTGAGCTGAAGATCCGGAGTTTTCAGGGATAGGACCGTGCTTTTCCAGATCGGTCTTAATGTGGTGAAAGCATAATGGGCTTTTCTGATCCTAGCCTTGATTTCCTCGTCTGTGCCACCAGTTGTACTGATTTTGCTGCCCAGATAGGGGAATTCGGTGACGTCTTCAATCACTTGTCCGTTGATCTGTAATGAATCTTGCTGTTTGTTTTGGGTCTTTATAAACTTTCGTCTTATCTCTGTTTGTCTTGAGGCCACCTGGGCTTGAGACAGTTCCCAGTTCATCCAGCTTGTCTTGTATGTCCTTGAGCCTGTGTGCTAGGAGCGCTAGGTCATCTGCAAAGTCGAGGTCCTCAAGTCTACTGGTGAGAGAAACAATAGTCACTTTTTAACTTTGTACATCATGAAGAAATGTCAATAAAATTATTCCATCATTTATTCTAAATAAAGGCTAGGCTGTAACACATATTGTGTGATTTTTCCCATTGCAATTGACAGTCAGAAAACTTAATTTTTTTATTGTAAAAAGTGAAATTATTTGGATTCAGCTATTATTGAGTCAGCTATGACCGTCTGAAAATATTTTGGGAGAGTCTGACAGAAGTGTTGAGTCAAATACGCAGGAATTCTGGGTCATGTAAAACCCTATATCGGTAAACCTACATAACCGGTACTAAAATACGAGCTATGGATATACGGGGAGTGATCAGGATTTTTTGTAGAAAGCAAGACTCAAACCCCTCGCCACTAAACGTTGCAGACTTTTCCTGTCGCGATTCCCAGCGTATTTGACAATAGTCATCACAATTTTCCATTGCCTTGGTATCGACACAGATCGGTCTGCCAAAATCAGCAACGTCGGAATGATAAAATATCACAATCTAAAACTGGCATATCCCTTGAAAATGGAATACGATCAATGTCTGATTTGTTCTGTATTCATGATGCTGGACAACGCATTGTCAATCACTTTCAATCAGAAACAGGTTGGTGTATAGCATTCGTCTCGCCTGGTAGTGACCACCTCCGTGGTGTAGTGGTTAGAGCGTCCGCCCGGAGAGCGGAAGGTCGCAGGTTCGATCCCCGACCACGTCACACCAAAAGACGTTAAAATATGGTACTTGTTGGTCCCTGCCTGGCGCTCGGCACTAATGGGTACAACAAGGACTGGTCGGCTCGGAGTCAGTATAATGTGTCTGAGTAGGGTATTCATGCTTCACTGAGGCATGGTATCTCAGTGAGCTAGCACTATAAAACCAGCTTAAGTCTGGGCTAGTACAAGCAGCTGCACATACACATTCACACGCATGCACGTCGTCATATTAGCGAAATATTCTCAAGCACGACGTAAAACCCTATTTCACCTCACCTCATCTGGTAGTGTATCTGCTTTAGTCTCAATGAATAATAATGATGAATAACCAAGCTTAATAGAATCGCTCTGTGAACGTTGCAAATTATTTTGCCTAAATACTGTAACGTGACAGGAAATTATAATTTTGATGCTGTATTTCTTTACCTCTTGATCTCGAAATTTGTGAAATTTAACAAACTGTCGTGCCGTTACCTGGAATGTTTCTGTAGTAAGACATCCCTTAAACTGTAATATGTTTAGTAGATGTATTGGGTTGAATGAGGTTTTTCAATGTTGATGTTTGATAACGTGTGGGGAATGGGAGATACACGTCTCTGGAATATTGCTGAGTGTGGCGTTAAACAACAAACCGACCAAACCTAGACGTCTTACTGAAATGTGCAGAGAAGAGGAAAACTTATTTGCAGTAGATGCGACGTTTCGGTGTAGATCCTAACACCGTTATCAAGCAAATGATGATAACGGTGTTAGTACCTACACCGAAACGTCGCATTTACTGGAAATATGAAGTTGTCTATCCATAAAAAAGTGTTCCTCTACATCAGAGCTTCTAAATGTCACTTAAGGAAGTTATGTGCAGAGAACTCTGGAAATTCGGTTGCCAATACATGAAGTCGAAGCCCAACAGCGTTGGACTCCTCTCACGCAAGAGTACATAAAATCACTGTTTTCCAACTGGAATGAAGCACTCTTTTCGGAAACGCTGAACATTTTGGGCAAGTTACCAACTTGGATATATTCCTGTATTCTACGTTTGTTCAGTTCCTATGGCGATCAGTGCTATGGTGACATACCGCGGTTAGATTGTCAACTTTAATATTCCACTTGAGTGAATGTCTGAAATTCAGCTGTTAAGAAAACCCTCATTTTGGAAGGGGTTCACAAGCAGGAGGTGGGGTCCTGCTCTGTCCATTAGATCTGAGAAATTATGTCCTATTTTGGGCACTTAGTGATGATGTTTCATTACAATTCATGTCCTAAATAGGGGATAACGGTTGGTTGGTTTGTTGCTAAACATCGCAATTGGCAATATTCCAGCTACATGTCTGTTAAATATCGAGTCTGGACCAGACAATCCAGTGATCAACAGCATGAACATCGATCTATGCAACTGCGATACGATGTCATGTCAACCAAGTCAGCGAGCCTTGGTTGACACGTCATCGAATCCCAGTTACATAGATTG